ACGTTGGGGGGGCATCCCTCCCCCTGGCCCTATATCCCACAAGTGTGGGGAGGGGACTGGTTACCTCATTCCCAGGCCAGGCTCAGTAACCCCTCTGCCAGGATCCAAGATGTAGCCCCCCAGGGTTCCTGGGTGCCAGGGAATAAGGTAAGCAGGCTCTGATTTTAAGCTCTTGAATCACGACCCCACCTGCAGAACACTAGGGGCATTGATGGAGCTTGGGAAGACTATTTCCTTGTCAGGTGACTGTACCCCCTAGATAAGGAAGCCTTTTGTCTCTTCCCACAAAGAAGGGTCTGTAATGATCCCTGGTCCACCCACCACCTACAACTTTTAAAACCTAAGGGGCTCCAACACAGGCTAGTCTAGTCAGGTTTGAAGTCATCTTCACTCAGAAGGGTCTACCATGCCCCCTCCAGGGCCATCAGCCTAGGTCTCATGGACAGGTTGGGGCTGGGGGCTTTCCAGACCTTCTCTCAGTTCATCTCCCAGTCCTGGCCCCTCTTATGAACTCTGTTGCCCCACACCACTTCTCACCATTATAAGAGTGATTGCACCCTAAGTTGTTTAACATGTGTACCCTGCAAAGTCCATGTCTCCTGGACATGGAACAGGCTTACCTGTTCTTCCCATAGTGCTCAGTGCAAGACAAGACAAGCATGTGACTATTTACCAATTTTTCCTCATCGTTTAATGTGTGTCTTCTCAAACAGAGGGGCCTCCACCACACCAGAAACAATGTGTACCTTAACTGCAAGCTGTGCTCCTTTCCTTTAGTACATCTTGTAGCACGGCTCATGTCCCCATAGACTAGGGCAGTGGTAAAACATGTATTGAGTGGAGGATTGAACAGACAGGTCTATTCCTAAGTTACAGATGAGAAAATTGAGGCTCAGATCCAGTGACTTGCCCAAGTTCCCACAGCTCACAAGCAGCAGAGCTGGGTATGTACCAGTCTGCTTCATGTGGATATTGGTGTTGCTCTGGCCCACGGTGTGACCATCTGGTGATGATGACCTAGGTCTGTCTGTGTCTACCTTTATTGAGATCATGTGGTATGGTGGCTGCTCTTCGCATCCTCTTCCTCAAATCCTTCTGAGGTTGGCTAATCACCTTCCTCCCTCAGCCAGAGCTCCCAGAATCCTCTCTACCCCAAGAGCAGCCTCTGTTGACATGGCCTGAAGGCCCCAGACACTCCCAGGAGGAAGGATAGCACAGTTTTCACCCCAACCCAGCACTGCAAGCTGCAGGGGCAGGTATTTGGGAAAAGGGGGTTCGAAAGCCATAGGCTGGTCAGAGGCCACAGCCTAGCTGAGCTGCCTAACAGTCTATCTGTCACCATACATCAGACTGGAGAGATATCTGGGGTTCTCAGGGGTGGAGTCTCTAGGGGTTCCCTGGCTCTGGTCTGCCTCATCCCATAGCCACGGGTGTTCCAGCACCAAAGCCTCCTATGGGCTCCCTGGCCAGTCCCTGATGAACAACTATTTTCCTCCAGGCCAGGCGACAATAAAGCCTCACAGGGCGGTGCCCTCGTCTGTCCTTCTTCCTTGCCCAGGTCAAACCTCTCTACCCGACACCCCATCTGTCCTTAGTCTAGGCCTAATCCGTCACACTGCAGAGTTGATTTATTTTTCTTGTGGCCTTGCTCTTGGCGGGGCCAAAGAACAGCATGTCATCACCCTTTCTAAATATTACAACTCCGTAGAGAATTGATGAATGTGACTCATCACCTTCCCATCTCCAGCTAGAGAAACCCAGACTTTTTCCTGTTGATACGGGTGGGATAACAATTATAAAAATAACAGTAACAACAATCATCGCAACTCCCAATTAACTCATGTGCCAAAAACTGTGCTAAGCACTTCCCGACATTATTCCATTTATACTTCACAACCCTAGTAAGTAGAAACTCTTGCTATCCTGTGTTGTAGGTGAGGACACTGGGGTTCAGAGTGGCTCAGTGCCTGAAATTTGCTTTGGTCACATAGCAGGAATGACAAGCAGGGTCACTTGACCCCAGAGCCCAGGCCTAACATATACACCCCATTGGCTTTCTAACAGCTTGGTCCCAAAAGTGTGGTGTTCAAACTATGATGCCCCGTTACTACTCACCTCCCCACCCAGCCAAAGTCCAACCCCAAAACAGAGGCCAGATATGCACTATGTTTCCCCTAGGCTACATCATGACTGGCAAGGGCCCAGGGAGAGCAGCCACAGTGGGACATTTGCATATGACTGTGGTAGGGTACCACACCCTCTGATGAGCACCAGCCACTTCTCTCCCTAGAGATTACTCTGTCCACATGAGAATTGCAGCCTCTTGGTTTTTTTAACTCCTTTCATCTCTTTTCTGATTGCTGTCATTGATCCTGACACATCCTCAACAGAAATACCCCCACTGTGGCTTGGCCTGACTCATGCCGAGTAGATGTTTAGGATGCTCTGTGATTGGGTCACTTTTCTTTGATGGACCCAAAGTCACTGCCTCCATGGGGAGTTGGGAGGCACCAGGAGAGTGGGCCATTCCTCAAGCTGGATCATTGGGAATGGGCCTGAGTGAGCCCCTCTGACCAAACCCCCTTGCTGGAGGGCTGGGAGCCTGAGGGCCAGCAGCTGTGGGACAGAAGTGTCATGATGCCTGCCAGTTGGAAGAGGGAATGGCAGGAGATGGCAGGGACTGGGCAGAGATGCAGAGGCCACAGGAGCCAAGGTATTGGCTGTGTGCCAGGCAGGAACCTGTGTCTTACATAGCAGGCTGTTTCTGTGTGGTGAGTTTTCTGGATTTCCTTTGTGTTCTACTTCTGTTTGAGTGAAAGTTGTGGAAAACTCTGCTGAGCTAACAGCAATCAAGGAAATTACCTTTTGTCTAGCTCTGCCCTGGACAATGCCAGAGCCAGCAAGGTGGTGAAGACAGGGCCAGACTGAGAGAGGAAATTCCAGAAGGGGCAAGCTCAGGGGCCAGGCTCAGATGTGTTGAGACCATTTTCCAGTCACCCTTTCCCATCTGATACTTGAGCCTCTGAGATTTGTCCTAATTGGGAAGGCAGTTTCTTCACATGTCCCATGTTGGAGACCTAAGGCTTTAGGATAGCCTTGATGGGTCTTCAGTCACTTTATGGACACAGACAGATAGACAGACAGACAGACAGACACACATACACACACACACACACACACACACACTGGAAGCCAAACCTCCCTCCCCACCTCTCCTCAGTTCCTCTTGCCCTGGGGGCTCCCCAAGCCACCTTGTCCAAATCCTCTCTCCTGGGTATACAAATACCAACTGTGCAGGAGTCAAGCAAAATAAAGACATGGAAACCAGAAAGCTTTAAGTAGGGGACAATCCTCCCACTTAACCAGCTAAGGATCTTAGACAAGTTATAAATCTCTATGCCTCGGTTTCTTCACCTGTTCAATGAGGGTAAGAAGAGCACCAACATCTTGTATTTGTGGGGACTGGGAACATATGGAAGCACTTGGGCAGCAGCTGGGAGAAGCACACTTTATGGAAGCATGCACTATGATCCCAAGTGGTTATTCCATACAGGATGACAGAGGTGGGCATGAGGAACAACAGCAGAGAAGCCAACACACATGCTGCCTAATAGCCTCACACCCAGCAGTCACAGCATTGCCTCCACCATTCTCTCTGAGCTCAGCCCCCTCGGGAGGATGCCTCCTGGTTCTGGAGACTCAGCCAGGGTGGCCTTCTGCCTAGGAGATCAAAGCTGTAGCTGGCTACACCAGCTCTGCCTTATGTGGAGCAAGGGTGGGCTTCAGAGGGGCTAGGAGACTCTGAAAACTGAGCACAAATATGTGGTGCAGCTATATTTTTCCCCTACAGGCTTTTCTTCTCTCTCTCTTTCTCTCATACTGGGGATTGAACTCAGGGCCTCACACTTGCTAGGCAGGTGCTGTACTACTTGAGCCACACTCTCAGCCCTGGCCCCTGGGTTTTGAGAGAAGATGGATAACAAATTCAGAAATAGCATTTTCAGACACTGGGGCATGCTTAGGGGATGAACAGCCCTACTCACTCTGCATAGAAAACATAGATCCCTTGCTGTCAACAGCCTCTCCTTCGTGTGTGTGTGTGTGTGTGTGTGTGTGTGTGTGTGTGTGTGTGTGTTCCACTGACTCACTTTATTGAAAATGCAGCCCCAGCACCCAAAGGTTCTCTTTATAGTGACCTTAGAGGACTCAGGTGTCAGAAAAATTCAGTTAGGGAGAAAGTAAGCTCATACAGCAGTTCCTTTTCTGGGCATATGGGAGGATTACCAGGCTCTCCAAGAGCCACACTGGATGAAGGCTACTGTACCGCTTCAGGTCCCTGTGGAACTCCTAAGCAGATTTTGCATTCTATTAATCTACATCTGTTTGCACATCCCTGCTGTCAGTGGCTTCTGTCTAGGGAGGCAGCAAATATGCAGGGAAAGGAGTTTGAGCTTAGGAGTTCAGGCTAACTTGGGTGCAACCCTGGCTTTAGCACTCCTGGCTGAGGAGCCTTGGGCAAGGGTCCTGCCATTCTGAGCTGGATCTAGAAACTGGGAGTGCTGTTCGACTCATCTTGCAGGGATACTGAAAGGATCAGTGATAAGATGGGCAATACCTAGTACAGTGGTTGGCATGCCTGGGCTTCGAAGGCATGCAAGCTGTTGAGGGTGATGAAGATTGTGAAGAGAAGGGACACTGGGGTCCTTAGTCTATGCTTTCTATCTTCCTTATCAAGCTAGGAGTCTCCCCAATAGGTGGTGTTCTTTCTTTCTTTTTTGTTCCTTTCTTCCTCAATCCTCTCCTGAAGCCTCACTGCCCCCTTCAGCCCCTAAAGAAAGTTAAACAGGCACAGTGATAATTCACCTTGCAGATGGAGGGGCAGGATTGGCTGGCTCCAGACAACCCACACTCCAAAGCACCAGGTCACCCTGTGGGCTGCATCGCTTAAGGAAAAGAAGCCGGGATGTCTCCTTTGGGATCCACCCTGCCCTTACCCCTACCTCACGTTGTCATGTTTCTGGATGTAAATCTTGTGGAACATCATATCCTCCTGCTTGGCATTGATGTCTGCTTTCATCTCCATGGCAACATGACGGGGAAGGACAGACAGCAGGAGCCGCTCCTGTGGAGGAAAGCAGGCATGTCTGAGGAAAGCAGGCGAGTTTGTCACCTCTCCTTCTTCCTGCTTAGAAAGTTCCTTCTCATCTACACCTCTACCCTGAGAAGACCTCTCAGGCTCTCCTGAGATTCATGGGAACAGCACCTGTGTGTACAGGGCGAGTGGGGCAGCTAAAGTCATACCCTGGGGCTCCCTGGGACAACTCCTGGTCCTTCCCCAGGCTTGCCACCTTGCTTACTGGGAAAGGCACTCCTGGCAAACCTATAAGTAGTGAGTACCTTGGATTAGAATCTGATTTTGTCTGAGGCTCTGTGTGACCCCTGGGAAAACTACTGAACTTCTCTGAGCCAAAAGAGGTTCCTCTTCCATGAAAGGGATAGGCTTGTTGACTGCATTACATGAGATTCATTCAATCAGTCATCCAGTATTTACTGAGAACCTACCATGTTTCAGGCATCATTCTGGGTGCCAGGAGTCATAACCATGAAACTATAGATAGGCAAGTTTCCTCCTCCTCAAAGCATTCAGACTCCTGGGAGTGTGGGGTACTATGAGGGCACTGAGCAGAGACACCTGGCCTAGACTAGGGAGAGTTAGGGTGATCAGAGAAGGCTGCATGGAGACCAGAAGGATAGGTGAGTGTTGCAACTTCACATGGGAAACAGTGGCCCAGGATGACTTTGAAGAAAACAAAGATGTCCAAGCCAGCCAAAGGGGAGGTGGGAGAGAAGCAGGGGCAGGTCATGCCAGCCAATTAAGGGATCTTGACTTTGCCCACTTTCCTAGTTCTCTTCTAGGACCTGTCCTGCTCCAAGAGATGCAATTGCCTCTTGTGTAGGGTGGTCTCCACTGCTGCACACCACAGCTCTCACTCCGGGCCAGGCCCTCTACCAGGTTTGCTCTCCTCTCTGTCCTTTTGTTCTAGCTATCCCCCTCATTCTCCTGCCCTTCTCTTGGCACTGAATGCTGGTCCCCTCCCAGGTGTCCCTAAGACTCTTCTGTTCCTGGGTCTTTTCTGGGTCCTCTTCCTCCTCTGTCATCATTCTTGCCTCTTCTAACCCACTGCCAAAGCTTTCACCACCCATAAGCTTTAACTTCACCCCCACACCCCAGCTCCCACCCAGGGTCACTGGTCTCTAAATGCCCACCTGGATGTCTTGCCACCACCTTGACATCACACCCCCAACCAGACTGGCCTTTCCACCTTTTTATTCCTCAGGTCCTACCCACAACACCCCCATTCTCCTGCACCAAGATCAAGACCCTGCCAATGTAAACTGCTTTCATTTGCAGAACTTGCCTCTGGGACTCAGGCCAAATTTTCAGAATTGATTAAGTCCTGCTGACCTGGAAACAGTTCTCAAACTTGTCCTTTCCCTTCTGTGCTCTCCTCCACTGTCCATGTGCAATACTCACCTGACTCTAGACTCCAGTGGCACCACCCTGCCCACACAGCCTCTCCTCAGGCCACCCAGCTGCCTGCACATTTCCAGTTTCTCTTAATCACTGCCTTTGTCACATCACTCCCCTGACAAACACCACCATATCACATATGGATTCTCAGGGACTCACTGAACCCACTCCTCGTTATTGTCCACTGCAACCCAATGCCCTCACCCCTTTCCCTGTGCCTTGCCCTTTCCTTGGCATGCTCTCTACAACTAGGCCCACCTGCAGTTCTCCTACCCACCATCCCAGCCTTGGCATATCACAGGTCCAGGCCCTTTCAGGTCCAGCCTGGTTTCAAGTCCAACCTGAATAAGTTTCTCTTTCTCTAAGCTAGTTCCCCACAGCAAGAGAGCACACACCTGACCTTGCCTTCTGTGCCTCCTGGAACTCTGGAGATCAGCCCATGCCTCCAGCCTGGCTTTGAGGTTTCCACAATCTGGCTCCCCTATCCCTCTACCTCCTCTCCTAGCACTCCAATTGAAATCTACACTCCACAGCGAACCATGGGAAGCTCCCCAAGCTTGTAGGTACTTTTCTTGTCTTTGTTCACAGGTCCGTCAGCTGGAATCAATGCTCTTACTTGCTGCTCCTAACCCTCCTGCAGGTCCTCCTCCTTCCTAGGAGGCCCAGCTCTGGCTGTACCAGCCCTATCCCACCTTTTGCCTTCTTTTATAGAGTCCCTGATTATGCTGTACGTGAATGGCCGGTTAACTGTGCCTCCCTTTGGTGAGGGCAAGGAGAAGCCTCCTTAGGGACAGAAACTATGTGTTGTCCAGTGCCACAGCCCAGGGACTTTATAGTCAGGCAACTGGCAAATTAGTGAAGAATGCAGCTCTCCACCGGTTGGTCTGGTCTCCCCAGGCATCAGTAAACATAGCCATTGAAGGTCACCTCACATTTACTGAACTCTCAGTAAAGAGTCACTGATGAGAGAAACATGAACTCTCATCATGGACAATTCTGTGATATGGGACCAGGAGAAAGTGCACTAAACTATGTAGATTCAGAAGGGACCTTCCTACATTTATAACTACTTCTGGGGCTAAGGACTAGGTGACATGGGCAGGGGTGACCAGAGGAACAAACCAGTCCACTAATCACACAGCATATAGGAACTGCTCTGAGACTCCAAGAAGCCCTTTCTGCATGGCTTGCTGGCTCTGGTTGGTGATAAGAGAAAGCAGGCTGCCTCTCCCCAGCACCTTGGCTCTGAACATGGTGTGGAAAAAAATAGTTTCTCCCCCAAGTCCTGTGGGTTTGGTGGCATGTACAGCATCTGGCCAGGGCCAGAGCAAGTAAACTGATAAGCTATAAAAAAGGTAATTATCAGGGGTTGGGGGTTGAGGAGGAGGTGGCATAAACAATGTATACACATGTAAGTAAATGTAAAAATGATAAAATAAAAGGAGAGAGCAAAAAAGGTAACTATCCAAGATAGACAAGGTGGCACATACCTATAATCCCAGCACTCAGGCAGGAAGATTGAGAGTTGGAGGCTAGCCTGGGTTACATACTGAGACACTGCTCCTCCCCCCGCAAAAAAAAGAAAGATAATCATTCTGGGGAAGGGGTGAAGCCCAGAGCAAGAAGGGACACTGGGAAAGGAAGATGTCAGTTCTCAGAGAGGTCAGGCCTGGAACAGGGATAAGCTGGAGGCTCCTGTGGAATGCTGGGGCTTAGGGAGTGAGCAGGGTGTTGTATGCCTAAAATGAGGTAAACCTGTAGACAAAGGACAGTGGGAGGACTACAGAGACACTACTGAGCACAATCTCCTTCAAGAGGCTGGACCAGGACTTCAGGCAGGACCAAGAGTAAATGGGGTGGTCATGCTTTGGACTGGCCAGTGTACATGGGGTACCTGGTAAGATACAATGGCCACAGAGGGAGTGCAGGTGGGGAGGCAGGGTCAGACAGGGACAAATGAAAACTCAGAGAGGCACTGTATGTTCACCAGCTGTGTCACTACAACCATCTAGCATGCAGCAGTGAAACCACTCTGCACTTAAAAGTGTTCACAGTGTGCACTCCACTGCTGGCTTAGCCATTTTCCCCCTGTCCCCAGCTCAGAGGCAGACCTTCCATGTTCATATATGCCATGGAACCTGACGGCATGTGGCACACAGAAGGGCTCCACTGATTTTGCCAAGGGCTGGGGAGGGAGGACTTGGTCTGTAGTAACCTCATCTCATAAGAGTCATGCTTGGTCCAAATACATGGGAGACCCACTACTAATTGCTCGCTCTCACCATCATCCCTTCCTCCCCACCCCGTCCCCCACCTCCTGTCTGGAAGTTCTATAGTATAGAGTTAACAGACCTCTATGGTCCACACACGGGAGAAAGGACAAGGGTGACTCAGACCTGAACCCCAAACAGGACCCTGTCCCCCAGACAGCTGGAACCCTGAAGTTGACCTCAGGCCTCACCCCATCTCACCTTTGCAGGGAGAGGTGCCCAAAGACTGGGAGCCTCACCCAAGTCTGTGAATTGTTGGCCTCCCTTGGCCCAGGACAGTCTGGGGAGAGACAAAGCTGTCATCCTTCTTTGAATCACCACACCCAGAACTGGGCAGGGAGAAGTGCCAGGTGTGGGGACCTCAGGGGCATTACATGTCCCCTCTTTTTCTTCTTCTCTCCATAAGTGCTTACCTCAATCTCAGCTAGAAATGCTGACTGCTCTCACCTCTCCAACTAGTGAGAGGGAGAGAAGGAGGAAGGGAGGAGCCATCCTGCTGCTTGGCTTATGTTCAAACCACATGTGGAGACTATGTGCAAGAGCAGGGAGGGCCTAAAGGATTCCCACAGAGCCAGGAATGCCAGTTCTCTAAGGGGAAATATTCTTGGGAGGTGAGGCTGGGCAGTGGAATAAGGACAGCCCGTGGGGTGACGAGACAGGCCTTGGCTCTCTCCACTACCCCCTGGCCAGTCATACCAGATCAGGAAGGCCTCACTCACCTGTTGCTGGTTCTCCCGCTGTGAGTGGAGGCGTGCCTGGATGCATTCCCGGGTCTCCTGGAAGGCCTGTCTTTGGGAGACCTCAGCTGGATAGTGGGTGCAGACGCCCACGATGTTGGTACAGGAGAAGATGAGGACATTGGAGACAAGCTACAGAATGGGAGATAAGCAAACCAAGCTCAGGCTTGGAGCAGGTGCTGGTCACTGGAGCCCAGACCCCAATCATCCTGGCCCAGAGCATGGAGACCCCAGCCCATGATTTAGCAAGCACATACCTAGCTACTAGAAAAAAATGCCGAGGGCACCCTACATGCAGCTACACAGATGGAGAAGCCAATCTTTTTTTTTTTTTTTTTTTTTTTGTGGCTCCATAGTAAACATTTATTGTATCAGTTTCTTTTTTTTTTCTTTTATTATTTATATGTGCATACAAGGCTTGGGTCATTTCTCCCCCCTGCCCCCACCCTCTCCCTTACCACCCACTCCGCCCCCTCCCTCTCCCCCCCACCCCCTCAATACCCAGCAGAAACTATTTTGCCCTTATTTGAGAAGCCAATCTTAATCATTCAGGCTTTCTGACAACTTCAAACCCCAAAGCTTGGCTGATCCATGAAGGGGTGTGACCCCTAAGGACTCAGAATCAATGGATAATCATACTGAACATGTCCAAAGTACCCAAATTAAAAGATCTGCTGGAGGCAAGCAGGGCATACCGTGAGGAAAGTTCCACAGGGGCAATGGGACTTCACTTCTGAAAGTGTGATAGAGCCTAGTTTAGCAAAAAGGGATGCCTTTCCAAAGAAGCCTTGACTTATTACTCCCAGAGATCCACTCTGCTCCCTTAAATTCAGGATTTGCTGGCCACCCATAAGGCCCCAGTACTGTGCAAAACACTCTGAGGAATGAAGGAAAGATGCAGGGCCTGACCAGTGGGAATCTGTCCTGAGTGGGGCTCATCTCCTTCCTTCCCAGGTTGCCCTTCTTTCTCTGTACCAGCCCAAGCTCCCTGACAACCACACACACTAGCAGGCAGGCATCTGCCCTCTCCCCTGCTACACAGACACAGACACACACACACACACACACACACACACACACGCATTGGCATAGCTTCTTTGAAAAAATAAGGGAAAATAAAGCAATACAACAAAAACCCACAAAGGCAAGTGTATATCACACAACCAGCGAGCTGGTGTTTAGTCAAAATAGATCTTGGCAGGTAAACTACCTGGGGATCTGAGCATATGGAGCTTGGCCCTGCCCTTTCTTCAGGTCACTTGCACTAGGAGTCTCACAAGGATGCTCAGGCCCGCAGGTGGTAGAGGCTTCACGATGCACCTCAGTCCTCCTCCACAACTTGATTCTGAGCCCCAACCCCAGCACTAAACCCCGATCAGCCCTGCACCTTCCATTGTGGCCCCTCTGGCCTCCAGGAAGTCCATGTTATCTAGTCCCGGGTGAGGAAGGCACTTGTCCATTTGGGACTTCAGACACCTGACAGTGGCCTGGCAGATGACTCCCACACTCTTCTCAAGGGCCTCTTTCTCTCTGGAACCTAGAAGTTCTGTCTTCCACTCAGGTCAGTGCTCTACCTGAAGGCTTCCCCCAATATGTTCTGAGTTGGTCCTGACTCTCACCCAGGACCTCTCAAGTTGAGATCTGGTAGCCATGTAGGCTCCATACCAGTTGTAGTATTTGCTCTAGAGATGTCCTAGAGGGTGTGTGCCCTACTCCATGAACAGAAAATGACTTTCAGTCTCCCATTTCAAAGTTTGGCTCTTTCCCAGCTGAAGAGTACCTGAGTCCCCAGGTGTCTCCTGAATGTGCCTGCAGGGAAACCATGGTCTCAGGTGACAGGCTTCCCCCCAGTTCTGCTCTGTTGGCTACTGTTGCTGACTTGCAACTCCTACAACTCCCACCCCAGTCCCACCTACCCCTGAATCCCATCACCATCATTTTCTGTAAACACATGGCATAGGAAAACCTTGTGACAAAGGAAGATGACCTCTACTCAACAGGAATGTGCCATCTACTTGAACAGTGTTATAGATTAAATGTTTGTGTACCCTTGAGATTCATATGTTAAAATTTTAATGCTAATGTGATGATGTCAGGAGGTAATTAAGTCGTGAGGGAAGAGCCTCCATGAATGGGATTAATGTCCTCATAAGAAGAGATTCAAGTTTTCTCCCTTGCCTCTGTTTTCTACATGTGAGGATAAGAGAAGACAGCCATCTACAAACCAGAAGAGGGCCCGCACCAGAAACTGGCATCCTCATATTAGACTTCCAGTCTCGGAACTGTGTCAAACAAATTTTTGTTTATAAGCCACCCAGTCTATAATATTCTGCTGTAGCAGCCCAAACTATGTAGGTCAAGGAGGTAAGTGATAAAATCTGAAGGAGAATCAGTAATATGAAGTAGAAATAGATTAATACCAAGCAAAAAGTAAAAGAAGGTGGGGGAGAGCAATGGAGAAGCAATGGGGGAGACCTCTGACCTCTGGACTAAGCTCTGAATTAGGGAGAAATGTGCCAAGACTGCCATGCATGAGAAACTCCCATACCCAAGGTACCCTGGGCCCTTGACAAATAACCCAGTCTCTCTCTGATTCTCCAGATGTCCACAGAACTTAGACTAAGAGACTTAGATTAAGAGAGCATGGCATGATCCTTATACAATGAGAGCCATTAAAGACCACTGAACCAAATAGTAGCAGAGTGGCAAATTTGGAAAGATTCATCAGGACAAACATACAAGGAATGGGAGGTAGTTTAGAACACTGCCACAGAAGCCTAAAGTATGAGGGAGCAAAGACCTGCCTGAGGCTGGGAGGCCAGGCAGGGCAGAGCTGACTCAAAAGGAAGATCCCTTAAGATCAGGGAGGAGAAAGTCCAGAAAGAAGTAGCCCATGGACTATAGTATTAACTAGTATAGTAACTATGAAGTGAGACCCTCAGAACAGGCCTCTGGGAAGTAACTGAAAACCACTAAGTGATGGGTAAAGAGAGAAAAAGAGAGGAGGACGTGAAGACTGAAGGATGTTCTAGTTAGGAAAGGTCTGAGAAAAGAGAGAAGGAGGTCCCAAATGATAAAAAATAAAATAAAATAGGACTGAGACAGGAGAAACCACAAAAGAGACAGTCAGGAGCTAGTTTCTGATAAGATATTATGTCATTATAACACAATATGACCAAGCAAGGTTACCCCAGGAATGAAGGCTAATTCAGTATCAAAAATCAAACAATGCATTTCTTCATATTAACAGAATAGAAAAGCGCATGATATTTCAATAGTTACTGAAAAACCATTTGACAAAATACAACATGTATTCATGATGTTAAAAAAAAACTCACCAAATTAGGAATTGGGAATGGAAGTCCCTTACTCTGATCAATGGTATATACAAAAACGTATAGTGAACATCATACTAAATGTGGAAAGACTAATGTTTTTCCCTAAGCGTGGGAAACAAGCAAAGCTGTTCCCACTCATCACTCCTACCCTACTCAATATCATAGTGGTTGTCTTAGACTATGCAGTAAGTAAGACAAGAGAAAGAAAGAAAAGAAGTACAGATTGCAACCAGGTGTGATGGTACATTCATGACCATAGTCCCAATGTACTCAGCAGGCTGAGACAGGAGGAACACTTGAGCCCTCAAGTTCAAGACCAGCCTGGGCAACACAGTGAGACCCCATCTCAAAAAAACAAGACATACTAATTGGAAAGGAAGAAATAAAATGATCTCTTTTTGCAAACGGCATGATTGTCTACACAGTAAAACTTGAAGAATCTATAAAACAATTACTAGAATTAATATTCAAGCATAGAAAAGTCATAGGCTATAAAATCAATGCACAAAAAGCAACCGTGTTTCTTTATATATGCAATGAACATTGGATATTTCTAAAGAAACACTTAAATAGTATCAAAAAACATGAAAGTTATATAGAGTATAACAAAAAACGTGCAAGACCTGTTTACTGAAAACCATAAAAAAATGAAAAAATTAATTTAAGGCTTAAATAAAAATGGAGAGATATACCACATATTGAAATAATATTGTTCAGAAGTCAATTTTCCTCCAAGTAACCCACAGATGCAACACAATCCCAATCAAAACTATGAGACTAGCCAAAATAATTTTGAAAAGGACAGACCAAATTGGAAAAGTCAAACTATTTAATTTCAAGACTTACCATAAAGCTACTCTAATTCAGATGGTGTGGTACTGTCAAAGGATAATACACAGATCAACAGAACAGAAGATAGACTATAGAAATAAGCTTATATTTATGGTTAGTCAATTTTTGACAATGTACAAGACAATTTAAGGAGGAAAGGACAGTCTTCTGAATTAATGATGCCGGGATAACCAGATACCTACATGCAAAAGAATGAAGTTGGACCACCAGCCTCACACCATATACAAAAATTAAGTCAAAGTGGAGTAGATATTTAAATGTGAAAACTACAGCTACAAAACTTTCAGAAGAAAGTATAGGGATAAATATTCGTGATCTTGGATTAGGCAATGATTTCTTAGTTCTTACACCAGAAATGTAAATAATCAAAGGGAAAAAACATAAACTGCACTTCATCAAAATTAAGGCCATCTACCCTTTAATTTGATGCTGTTGGGCTGGGAATGTAGCTCAGTAGTAGAGTGCTTGCCTAGCACATCCAAGGCCCTGGGTTTAATCCCCAGCATCACAAACAAAACAAACAAACAAAAAGACACAGTTAAGATAATGAAACATCAATGGGCTAGTAGAGCGGCTCAAGCTTTAACAGCATCTGCCTAGCGTGAGGCCCTGAATTCAAACCCCAGTGCTGCAAACCACCCCACCCCGCAAAAAAAGGCAGTGAAACAACAAGCCACAACACAGGAAAAATTATTTGCAAATGACATACTTGATGAAAGAGCTGCACCCAGAATTCATAAAGAACTCTCAGACCTCAATAATAAACAACTCACCTTTTAAGAGAGCAAAACATCTGATGGATGGTTTACCAAAGAAAATTTAAGTCTGACAAATAAACACCTGGAAAGATGTCCCATAATGCTGGCCATCAGGGAAATGTCAATTCAAAAACCACAAAATATTATCTACTATATTAGAATGGCTAATATAGAATGGCTAAAG